GTTTGCGGTTGAGTGCAACGTCTTTTAGGGTCTTTGCAAACACTGGGACCGTTGCCTTGAGGATGTGCACTGGTTGTACAGGCTGTTCAGGTCCAGAGTGGGGTGGAGTTTCACATATACATTTGGCTTCAGTGCACAGTCTCTGGAGATTTGTGCATTTACTCTATGGATGAGGGCTGGGTGGAAGTCCATTGGGTAGCAGAGTCGAGATAAACTACCCCTCGCAGAAGGGAATGTGGCGCGGGCTTTATCTATGACCTTCTTGAGAGAATTGGCCACCTCTTCTCTCTGTGTTTCAGGTTGTTTGTGCAGTGAGATTGGATGTGGCTGGGGGATTCTAGGTGGTCTTGTGTCAGCAGTTCCATGGCATGGCTGGTATTCCGGCATTTGATTTTAGCGACTCTGTTGTTAGGAAAGAGTTTCTTCTCTTCCACATACCTCCCATTTGAGTCCATGAGGACTACAACTTGTGGGTTTTGAGTCGCGTTGCTTTCTGGAGGTCTGGTGGTTTGGTTGGTTGGAGAAGGGGTCTCTTCGGTTAGTGGCTCTTGACTTGGTGGTGTTGCTGAGTTATTGGGGCTGTCGTCCTGGTCCTGTTGTTCTGTGTTTCCTGTGGAGGGGTAGACAGCTCAATCACAGGTTGTTGGCTGCTCAACTCTCTCACCTTGTCTTCAAGCTTTCGCACTCTTCTCTGAGCTGCCTCATCTCCTGCTTGTAGACCTCTCATTGTCTTGGAGTCTTTTTACTGTGTTTCCAAAGTGCAGACAGGTCTTTCTCCCAGAGGTGTCACTGGTCTGTGTGAGTTATTCTTGCCCTGTGTTGTTGTTGTCTGCTCAGATTGGAGTGTGTTGATCTTTTGCTCCATTTCCACTTGCTTTATTTCTAACTGTGTGAATCTGTCTCTGTTACGGCCAGTGAATATAGGACCCAGATGCAGGACACATAACATAGGGGTTGATTGGTAATGAAGGTTATTGTAGCAAATGAAGATGGGTTGAAGATTCGGCGGTTGGCAGAGTGAAGGGGATGACGGCTGACCAGAGCAGAGTAGTGGTGTGAACGTGTGGTTTGGAGTCCAGAGAGCAGGTTGAGGCTGATGGCTGAGCAGGAAAGCAGGTGGGTGAATGGTGATCCTAAAGCAAAGGAAAAAACAGGATGAGACTCAAAACTAGCACAAGAAATTATTTTCAAAAATCGTTAAAATCTTAATTAGCCTGAGACGTAGTCTACCGCAGTAGTTGACACAACGATCTGGCGATGAGTGGATGGAGAGCCGGGGTATATATACTGCTGAGTTGATGAGTAGATGGAGAGCTGGTGTGGAGGTTTGAGCAGGTGAAAGGAATGAACCTCAAACAGGAGGGAGCACAGAGTGATGATGTTTTATCTGTTTCCAACAGTTATCTGTGGTGATCTTCAGTTAGCTGACTCCTGTTGATCAGCCATTGTTCTGTGGCAGTTGGTGATAGCTTTAAACTAGTTGTACCTTTGTCTTATTTTTTCTCTTTTTTTGACTTAAAGATGTTCAGTTTTTTTTCTCAAAGTATCCTAGAGTCTTGGTTTTCTTTGTTGTTGTAGCTTATATTGTAATTTGTAAACGGGTTAGGGTCTCTGTATTACAGCTGAACCAAACCTCACAGACACATTTAAACTTCACAGTCAAACATCACCACATGCTGCGTGACATGGAAAACATTTTTTTTAGTTATTTTACTCGCAGGATCTCAATATGTCCGGAATCATCTTCTGTTTAAAGTCGTCTGTAAAGAAGTTTCAGAATAAAGCATATGAAATAAAGAATCTTTTGCCGCCGGTTGCCTAGTGGTAAGTGTACGCACCTATGTACGGCCCGGGTTCAAACCGACATGTGGGTCCTCTCTCACTCTCCCTGATTTCTGACTCTTTCCACTGCCCTGAAAGTCCCTCAAAATAAATCCAAACAAAATAAAGCGATTACCTGTGATGTAATTGTAGATACGATGATTTTTGTCTCCGTCTTTGCGGGGGAGGTAATTTAAGACGCTGTAGTGAAAACACCCTGAGCACCTTATCACTTTGTTTATGCACTACTTTATCTCACCCCACCATGTCCCTCCGCCTGCAGCTCCACCGTCAGCTGGACAGTAATATATAGTTATTGTTATAATCCACTTCACATGTACATGTTCTCAACTCTTCTGTGTGTGTGTGTCAGGCGGAGGCGAGGCTTGCGGCGAAGAGGGCGGCTCGTGCAGAGGCAAGAGATATTCGAATGAGGGAACTGGAGCGACAGCAGAAAGAGGTAAAGAACACCTGCGGATTAAAAATGTCACCTGAAATATCATAACTGCTGAGTGTGCAGGTCGTAGGGGTCCGACCTGAGAGTGTGTTCACAATAAAAACACACACACTCAACGCTGCTGCATGTCCACAGGTCAAAACAAGCCAGATGTTTACAGCTTAAAGTGTAATGCTTTAAACCCTCAGTCCAGATGTTTCACAGCTTAAAGTGTAATGCTTTAAACCCTCAGTCCAGGTGTTTCACAGCTTAACGTGTGATGGTTTAAACCCTCAGTCCAGATGTTTCACAGGTTGAAGTGTGATGGTTTAAACCCTCAGTCCAGATGTTTCACAGGTTGAAGTGTGATGGTTTAAACCCTCAGTCCAGATGTTTCACAGCTTAAAGTGTGGTTTAAACCCTCAGTCCAGATGTTTCACAGGTTAAAGTGTGATGGTTTAAACCCTCAGTCCAGATGTTTCACAGCTTAAAGTGTGATGGTGTAAACCCTCAGTCCAGATGTTTCACAGGTTAAAGTGTGATGGTGTAAACCCTCAGTCCAGATGTTTCACAGCTTAAAGTGTGATGGTTTAAACCCTCAGTCCAGATGTTTCACAGCTTAAAGTGTGATGCTTTAAACCCTCAGTCCAGATGTTTCACAGCTTAAAGTGTGATGCTTTAAACCCTCAGTCCAGATGTTTCACAGGTTAAAGTGTGATGCTTTAAACCCTCAGTCCAGATGTTTCACAGCTTAAAGTGTAATGCTTTAAACCCTCAGTCCAGATGTTTCACAGCTTAAAGTGTGATGGTTTAAACCCTCAGTCCAGATGTTTCACAGCTTAAAGTGTGATGGTTTAAACCCTCAGTCCAGATGTTTCACAGGTTGAAGTGTGACGGTGTAAACCCTCAATCCAGATGTTTCACAGCTTAAAGTGTGACGGTGTAAACCCTCAGTCCAGATGTTTCACAGTTTAAAGTGTGATAGTTTAAACCCTTTTTGTGTTGATCGCCCTCCTGCAGCTCTCTCTCCACTCTGCCAGCAGCAGGAAGTGGGGTCAGATCCACCAGTGGATGGTAAATAGTCGCACAGCTTGTCACTAACTGTGTGTTACAGCATGGAAATAAACAATAATAATCTGAGACTGTGTTAATCCGGATTTACACTGTGAGCTGAATCGTTTAAGACACGCGACCAGAGCTCATGCTGTACGAGTGAGTCGTTAGTCTTTGTGGTCTGCTGTTGCCATGGCAATTTCAGATGCTTTCTGTCAGCATGCTCAGACACAATCAGGAAAAAGGGTAAAAAAAAAAAAGAGGCTCTTCTGTCACACTGTGAGTGTGTGCAGTCCTAAAATAAAAATCATCTGACCGGTCGTAGCAGCTGATCGGGTGTGTTGCTTGTTGTGCCTCCCCTTCCACAGCATGTCTAACGACACTCAATCTTTTGACCGGACTTCAAATTCTGGTGTGCGACTCATGAATAGTTTCCAAAATGGTTGAAATCGTACAGTGAAGGCCAACTGCTTTAAGGGGCTGATGGTCCAGCATCTTCAGAGATGAAGGATGATCTGATGCGCATACACACAAGGTTTTAGTGTTTGCTGCTCTGTTTTTAAATAACAGTTGTGTGTGATATACAAGCTGTAGTTGTGTTATGGATTACAGACATGATGGCTTCTGATTGGTTGTCAGCATGATGTTGGAAGTCAAGCATGGTGTGAATTTTAAGGAGGATGACTGCAATTGTCCTTCTCCTCTGTGTGAAGGATCCTCTTCACTCTGTTACCCTCCTCCTCCCCCTCTTCCTGCTCCTCCCCCTCATCATGCTCCTCCCCCTTCTCCTCCTGCTCCCCCTCCTCATGCTCCTCCCCCTCCGGCTCCTCCTCCTGCTCCTCATCCCCTCCTCCTGCTCTCCCTTCCCCCCTCCTCCTGCTCCTCTCCCTCTGGCTCCTCCTCCTGCTCCTCCCCCTACTCCTCTTGCTCTTCACCCTCCTCCTGCTCCTCACCCTCATTGCAGGCCGAGACAGAGAGAGCTCGAACTGCTGCTGCTCGTCCTAGCAGTCGCCACCACCGGGTCTGTAACTCGCCCAAATACACAAACACAAAAACACATGCACACACTTCCTGCATTGTGTCTTCTGCAGTGACTCTGTATTCTGACTCCATGTTTCCATGACAACAGGGTCTGGATGATGATGTCATGTCAGTCCGCAGTTACAGGGTGCGTTCATTATGATTTAAACTTCTGTTGTTTTTTTGATATTGTTTTTATTATGAGAATGAGATAGTTACAGGTGAGATATTTAGGTTGTTTTCACATCTGGATATTTAGAGAAGTTCTTCTGTACCAGAAGGCGTTTTCGACGTATGTGAGCACAAAAATGTCTCTTGCATGTGAAACAAAATAAGCGAGCAGATATCGACTAGAAGAGGAATTCTCTGCTTGCTTCCATCAATCCCTGCAGCGGTTCATTTACAATAAGAATGAATCAACACGGCCACCAACCCAACAGCAATCAACCTAGCAATCTAACCAGTAACCAACCCAGCAGCCAACCCAACAACCAACCCAGCAATCAACCCAGCAACCAACCCAGCAATAATCCAACAATCTAACCAGCAACCAACCATACAACCAACCCAGCAACAATCCAACAACCAACCCAGCAATCAACCCAACAATCTAACCAGCAACCAACCCAACAACCAACCCTGCAACCGACCCATGAACTTACCCAGCAACCAGTCCAACAACCAACACAGCATTCAACCCAGCACCAACACAGCAACCAACCAAAAACCAAGCAACCAACCCAGCAACCAGACGGTTTGCCAGAACATCCTTGAAGCACTGAAAGTCCTTTTCAATAGCCTCTCAGAACTCCTCAACTACCGAAGCCCTAGCTCTCAGGATGCCAAGCTTGAAAGGCCTCCTTCTTCAGCCTGACGGCTTCCTTAACTGCTGGTGTCCACCAGCTGGTTCTTAGATTGTTGCCACAACAGTGACCGACGGTCCTCTTGCCGCAGCTCCTATAAGCTGCCTCCAAATGGGGTATTTGTAGTAGTAGCAGCTAATAGCTAATACCAGTAGCAGTAGCAGTAGCAGTAGCAGTAGCAGTAGCAGTAGCAGTAGCAGCAGCAGCTACCTTTGCATGTAGCTGTCATAGTTTCTTGGCCTTGGACAGATCTTGTTGAAAGCCTCTCTTTAGCCTTTTCAGCATATGCACTCCGGGTTAATGTCTAGATATTTACAGGAAGACTTCTCTGGAGATTCTCCCGACCTAGTCGTTCACATATGCTCCTCACAGCGGGGGACTTTCCCTGTCAGAGGGGAATTTCCAGAGGTAAGACGTGACGTAAATAAACAACGCGGAAGTAGCGGCCGTAGCAACAGAGTCCGCTACACGACGCCATAATGACAATATTTGCCTTTATATCAATGTTGTGTGTAATCCAATGGAATGACAACATCCACAAAAGAGAGGAGAACAACATACTGATGAACAGAAAACATAATGCAGCCATTTAATTACGTGCACACAGATCGTAGTGGTCGCGTGCAGACACTGAGGCAGTCACTGTATATAAACGTCAGTTTCTTCCCATTGGCTCGAGTTGAAATCTCCGGAGTATATTCGACTGCGTTCAGACTGCGGATAAAATACTAGGCGTCTGGCCAGAGAAACTCCGGGTGAAGTCCGCGTGAAAAATGCGGCTGTTTGCGTTCACACATAGCCTAAAGAACCTCCGGGTAGCCAAATCTCCAGAGTTTTTCAGGAGATTTCTGTATGTGTGAAAAGGGGTTTTTGATTCACAAGTTTGTTAACGGCTGTATTTTTGTGAGTGGTGTCAAACATTTGACAAAAATGCTCATCTGCCTAAATGTTTATGAGACAATTGTGACCAGCTCACATGGCGTTTGTTTACCTACGCATTGGGTAAAATAGATGATGTGATGCCAGCCCTGTGTTGGCATGTTTCAGCCCGCTTAAAATATTTCAGTGTTAACATAAAAGGACCAAACGGAAAAATACAACAAGGAATCATTTGAGTCAGAACAAAGCAAATAAGCTACAGGTGTGAAAACATCCTAACAGTCTGTCAGAGACGCTTCTCTGCTTCGTGTTTGTCTCTGATTGTTTTTTTGTTCTTTCTTTGAAGTCGACCTCTTCAGGGATACGAGACCTCGGCTCCACCAAGAGTCGGTCCAGCACCCGTAGAAAAGACACCTTGGTGTGTGTGTGCATGTGTGTGTTAATGCGTGTAGCCGACTCAGTATAATACCTGTCCTGTTTTTATTTTAAACTTCTGTTAACGACTAAAATTAATTATATTTAAATGATTAAAATAATTATAACTAAAAGGACAAAGTCAGAAAGTGGGATCATTACCTGATGAAACAGAATCAGGTGAGTCTTCAGGGGATTCCTTTAAAACTAAAGTTTGTTTCACTGATTGCTGTGTTGGATGCTCAACCTGTTGATCGACTTATCCGGTGTTAGTGGCATTCACACCTGACAGGTGTTTGATGTTCTGATTCTGCTGACACATGTCCTTTCCTCAGTCTGATGGACTCTCCTCTAGCTCTGCCCTGAAGACCTCACGCTCCACCGTACGTACCTGTGTGATCACCTGTATGTACCTGTGTGATCATCTGTACCTGTGTGATAACCTGTATGTACCTGTGTGATCACCTGTATGTACCTGTGTGATCACCTGTATGTACCTGTGTGATCATCTGTACCTGTGTGATCATCTGTACCTGTGTGATCACCTGTATGCACCTGTGTGGTCACCTGTATGTACCTGAGTGATCACCTGTATGCACCTGTGTGATCACCTGTATGCACCTGTGTGATCACCTGTATGCACCTGTATGCACCTGTGTGATCACCTGTATGCACCTGTGTGGTCACCTGTATGTACCTGTGTGATCACCTGTACCTGTGTGATCACCTGTATGTCTCACCTCTTTCTCTCTGGGGTCAGAGCTCAGTTTTCGGCGATCTTCACGGACACAAAAAGTCTTCATCATCTTCGTCAAAGAAAGACCTACTGGTCAGTTTACATTCTGAAGCTGTGATTAATATCAGATCAGTAAGAGATGTTCAGGTGTTTATTCAGTCTGACTCACTATTTTTTAATATTCTGATGGTGATGATGATGTCAAATCCTTCAGACTGGTCTGTACCACGATCAGAGGAACTACAGCAGCCTGACAAAGACCAAACCTCCTCCTCCTTCTTCCACCTCCTCCTACCAGCCTCGGGTCTGCCTCCACTTCCTAATTTTTCTGCTTAGATTCATTGTTAAACGATCTCCTGCTGTTGTATACACACAGTTTGCTCTCAGAATCTTAAACACACACACGCACACACACACACAAGATACCTGTGTCCACCTGTTCGACACTCTCCCCCATTTTCTTAATATTTCCTCTTTTCTCTCTGACAGGCAACCTCCTCGGCTGTAACAGGCCTGACTCGCAGCTACAGCACGGTCAGCGTGTGTGCGTGCGTGTGTGTGTGTACTGTGCCAGACGTAGAGTCTATCTCACTCTGTGGACACATTGCTCCGATAGACGCTCACTGTGGGAATTTAAATGGAGCTGCTGCACACTAAGAGCTTCAGTCAGATAATCTGACACTATTAAAAACATAAATATATATGTACCATTAAATGGTCAGCGTCATGGTGGGTTTAAAGACATGAAAGATGTGGTGTTTTCTGATTCATGGTGTGTTTAAGGACCTTTAAACTGATGTTTTTCTGAGTTATCTCCATGTGTCTTCAGGCTTCTGTGTATGATGATGCTGCACTGTGCGGCTCGGGCTACAGTTCCAAAGCTGTAAGTGTGTGTTTGTGTTGGACAGTTTTCAGCAGCCCAGTGTGTCTCCTGACATTTGTCTGTAACACCCTCCCTCCCCCTACAGCCCTCTGAATACAGCTGGTACTCCTCTGCAGCCAGCTCCACCCGCAGCAGCCCTGTGGTGAGCTCCACCCGGCAGTATGTCACTAACACACACCCTAATGGCCACCCTCTCTCAGCATCAACCTCCTCCCTCCCTCAGCATCACCCTCCTCCCTCAGCATCACCCTCCTCCCTCAGCATCACCCTCCTCCCTCCCTCGGCATCACCCTCCTCTCTCAGAATCATCTTCCTTTCTCAGCATCACCCTCCTCCCTCTCTCAGCATCACCCTCCTCCCTCCCTCAGCATCACCCTCCTCCCTCCCTCACCACCTCCCTCCTCTCTCAGCATCACCCTCCTCCCTCCCTCAGCATCACCCTCCTCCCTCCCTCAGAATCACCCTCCTCTCTCAGCATCACCCTCCCTCCTCCCTCAGCCTCACCCTCCTCCCTCCCTCAGCATCACCCTCCTCTCTCAGCATCACCCTCCTCCCTCCCTCAGCATCACCCTCCTCCCTCCCTCAGAATCACCCTCCTCTCTCAGCATCACCCTCCCTCCTCCCTCAGCCTCACCCTCCTCCCTCCCTCGGCATCACCCTCCTCCCTCAGCATCACCCTCCTCCCTCCCTCGGCATCACCCTCCTCTCTCAGAATCACCCTCCTTTCTCAGCATCACCCTCCTCCCTCTCTCAGCATCACCCTCCTCCCTCCCTCGGCATCACCCTCCTCCCTCAGCTTCACCCTCCTCCCTCTCTCAGCATCACCCTCCTCTCTCAGTATCACCCTCCTTTCTCAGCATCACCCTCCTTTCTCAGCATCACCCTCCTCCCTCAGCATCACCCTCCTCCCTCTCTCAGCATCACCCTCCTCCCTCAGCTTCACCCTCCTCCCTCCCTCAGAATCACCCTCCTCCCTCAGCTTCACCCTCCTCCCTCAGCATCACCCTCCTCCCTCAGCTTCACCCTCCTCCCTCAGCATCACCCTCCTCCCTCAGCATCACCCTCCTCCCTCAGCATCACCCTCCTCCCTCTCTCAGCATCACCCTCCTCCCTCAGCTTGATCCTTGTGTTTTTCCCCCTCGGTTGATACAAGTGTGTGTGTGTGTGTGTGTGTGTGTGTGTGTGTGTGTGTGTGTGTGTGTGTGTGTGTGTGTGTGTGTGTGTGTGTGTGTGTGTGTGTGTGTGTGTGTGTGTGTGTGTGTGTGTGTGTGTGTGTGTGTGTGTGTGTGTGTGTGTGTGTGTGTGTGTGTGTGTGTGTGTGTGTGTGTGTGTGTGTGTGTGTGTGTGTGTGTGTGTGTGTGTGTGTGTGTGTGTGTGTGTGTGTGTGTGTGTGTGTGTGTGTGTGTGTGTGTGTGTGTGTGTGTGTGTGTGTGTGTGTGTGTGTGTGTGTGTGTGTGTGTGTGTGTGTGTGTGTTCGTGTGTGTGTGTGTGTGTGTGTGTGTGTGTGTGTGTGTGTGTGTGTGTGTGTGTGTGTGTGTGTCCTTCAGTCTTCCTCTGATGAAGACACAGTGAGCAGTGTGTCTCAGGAGCGAGGCAGCAGAGGTCGCAGAGACAGTGTGGTGAGCTGCAAACATCTGATGATGTCATTACTGGTTAAACTGTGACATCATCACTTGAATACATCATTGATTATTACCCTCTTCCCGTCTTCCACCCCTTACCCTTCCTCCTCCAGTTGTCTGATTTCTCTGACATCAGTGAGTCAGCAGCAGATTATTTCAGTCGCTCTAACAGACGAGGCAGCGTGGTGTCAGACCTCGATGATCTGATGGTCCCTGACCTTGACGCAGTGAGTCAGTCAGGGGTGAAGGTTTAACTGTGATGAAGGTTTATTAACTGTGATGAAGGTTTATTAACTGTGATGAAGGTTTATTAACTGTGATGAAGGTTTATTAACTGTGATGAAGGTTTAACTGTGATGAAGGGTTATTAACTGTGATGAAGGTTTATTAACTGTGATGAAGGTTTATTAACTGTGATGAAGGGTTATTAACTGTGATGAAGGTTTAACTGTGATGAAGGGTTATTAACTGTGATGAAGGTTTATTAACTGTGATGAAGGTTTAACTGTGATGAAGGGTTATTAACTGTGATGAAGGTTTATTAACTGTGATGAAGGTTTAACTGTGATGAAGGTTTATTAACTGTGATGAAGGTTTATTAACTGTGATGAAGGTTTAACTGTGATGAAGGTTTAACTGTGATGAAGGGTTATTAACTGTGATGAAGGGTTATTAACTGTGATGAAGGTTTAACTGTGATGAAGGTTTAACTGTGATGAAGGGTTATTAACTGTGATGAAGGTTTAACTGTGATGAAGGTTTAACTGTGATGAAGGTTTATTAACTGTGATGAAGGGTTATTAACTGTGATGAAGGTTTATTAACTGTGATGAAGGTTTAACTGTGATGAAGGGTTATTAACTGTGATGAAGGGTTATTAACTGTGATGAAGGTTTAACTGTGATGAAGGTTTAACTGTGATGAAGGGTTATTAACTGTGATGAAGGTTTAACTGTGATGAAGGTTTATTAACTGTGATGAAGGGTTATTAACTGTGATGAATGTTTATTAACTGTGATGAAGGTTTAACTGTGATGAAGGGTTATTAACTGTGATGAAGGTTTATTAACTGTGATGAAGGTTTATTAACTGATGAAGGTTTATTAACTGTGATGAAGGTTTATTAACTGTGATGAAGGTTTAACTGTGATGAAGGTTTATTAATTGTGATGAAGGTTTATTAATTGTGATGAAGGTTTATTAATTGTGATGAAGGTTTATTAATTGTGATGAAGGTTTATTAACTGTGATGAAGGTTTATTAACTGTGATGAAGGTTTATTAACTGTGATGAAGGTTTAACTGTGATGAAGGTTTATTAACTGTGATGAAGGTTTATTAACTGATGAAGGTTTATTAATTGTGATGAAGGTTTATTAACTGATGAAGGTTTATTAATTGTGATGAAGGTTTAACTGTGATGAAGGTTTATTAACTGTGATGAAGGTTTATTAACTTTGATGATTAAACATTAATATCTGGTGCATGGGTTAAAATAAACTGATTCCACAATCTGTTTGCGATTGGTTCTTTAGTGAGTGTGTGAGCCTGGCGTGCAGCAGCATGGACTGATGGAGGTTCTTCGTCTGTGTTTTTTTGATCTGTGAACATGTAGCATTGACCCCAAACTCAGTGTGACTCACAGGAAGCCGCTTGGAGCATGACAGCATGGCTTGTTCTGTTTATACTTTTTAATATCTAACTCTGAATGCATTTGTTTCTTTCAGCTGGACGACAAATGTGATAAACAGTATTCAGACTTCAGCCGGGTGAGTGCATTTATATATACACATTTAAACTCTACTGATTTAACCACAGAGCAGAAGAGCTAATGTGTGAACTACCACACTACATGTGACATCACTTCCTGCTGGAGGTTTAAGCAGTCATCTGATACTCTTTAGTTTCTCTGTAAAAAACATGATGGATTGATTGATGGATAAATTCTCTCTCTCCAGCCGTCGTCTCGCTGTGCGACGCCCGGCCTCTCAGCAGCCACTCTGGCGTCTCTTGGCGGCACGTCGTCACGTCGTGGCAGCACAGACACAGGCAGCATCTACGACCCCGACACCAGCCTGAGCGAGCTGAGGGTGAGAACACACATTCATACAGTTTATTTAATATCCTATTATTATTATTAGAGTCAATACTCTGATGAACACATGTTCTTCTTCACCAGGACTTAAAAGGGATGGTTATGTATTTTTTCAGTGTGGTATTATGAGGTCAGAATATTATCCACCTTAGAGGTCGGTCAGCGTGGCCCCTTTAGGGAGAGACTGGAAGGAAAGCAGCTCAGAAGCTAGGCTATGTTGTTTTACACACGGGGTTGATTGCTTCACGTAAATTAGCTAATTTCAAGAAAAACGCTGTGGTAAGTGTTCTTTGTATTATATTGTGAAATTTACTGCATCCCAGTTTGAGCACATTTTAATTAGGCTAACAACTGTTTAAAGATTATCCGGCTGACACAGCACTGTAATGGTTCAGTTTTCAAACACTTGTGTGTTTTCAAGATGGGGCTATAGGGGCCATGGGTTCTGCTTTATGCATCTCATCCACAAAGGTCCTGAAATACATTTTTAACAAAGTCCCTGAAGTTCTGATTTTACTACGTCCCACTAGTAGCTCTCCTCTGATGCACAAAGGTCCTGAGTTACAGTTGGAAACTAGTCCCACTCGTACCTACCCTCTGATCCACAAAGGTACTGTTGGTACCTAATCCCACTCGTAGCTACCCTCTGATCCACAAAGGTACTGTTGGTACCTAATCCCACTCGTAGCTACCCTCTGATCCACAAAGGTCCTCAGGTACTGTTGGTGGCAGCTACCCTAGGCACAAAGGTCATGAGGTACTGTTCTTACCTAGTCAGAAACTTTGTTTTTTCTGGAAAAAAGCTAAATAACCGCAAAGGAGCTTAGCTGACTGACATCTCCTGGAATTTACAGTTACTATTGATAAATATCTCATACAACTAAATGGCAAAAATACAAAACTGAAACACGTTTTCTGTCTGAGGAACTCAAGGTTACAGTGCTTCCCCTTTACATTTGATCGTCTGTTTCTTACTGCTTTAACCTTTTTTCGTTATTTTGTGGGGGGGTCATATGTCTGTGATGGCAGCTCGGGTGCTCTGTAACTCTCCTTGATAACCCCCCCCCCTCCTCCTCCCTGTGCTCTGCAGGACATCTATGAGCTAAAGGACCAGATTCAGGATGTAGAGGGGCGCTACATGCAGGGGCTCAAAGAGCTGAAGGTATAGGGGCTCCCAGCATGCTCTGCTTCTTCCTGTACTATTGGGAGTCACTAACCCCACATCCTCCCCACCCCCTCACTCTCACCTCTCCCCACTGTGCCTGCTTCTGTCTCTGTCGCTGCCTGCTCCTGGTCTTGTCTGGTTCATCATCCTTCCTTTGCTTTATCCAGTGTTTCCCACTCATAGAGGATAGCTGGGCGGGCAGCCAGGTAAATTTATGGCCACACAAGTATATTTCCAACCTCTTTTTATTTAATTTTCATTGAATCATAAAATTGCTGCGTGTGCGACACAGCGAGAGCGGGGGAGAGAGAGAGCGCATGTGACAGAGTGCAGGCGCTCTATCTCTGGACCTCACGGCAAAACCAAGAGAGCTGTATCATAAACGCTTTAGAGAGAGAGGGTCTACTGTCTGTACACCCCACTTACCATCACTAACCTGGTTAGTTCATCATTAACTGGTTAGTTCATCATTAACCTGGTTGGTATATCACTAACCTGGTTAGTTCATCACTAACCTGGTTGGTAGTATATCACTAACCTGGTTGGTATATCACTAACCTGGTTAGTTCATCATTAACTGGTTAGTTCATCACTAACCTGGTTGGTTCATCACTTTTGATCCCTGTCACCATGGCAACATCTCAGATGTTTCTCACTGTTATGACCTCACTAATCTTGATTTTACTTTAAGAAGGGAGTGTGTTTGGTCTAAAGTGTTTAAGTGTGAATAAGCACCTGGTGCACTCAGGTGAGCTGAGCTGTGACTCCGCCCCCTCAGGAGTCCCTGGTGGAGGTGGAGGAGAAATATAAGAAAGCGATGGTGTCTAACGCTCAACTGGACAACGACAAAGGAAACCTGATCTACCAGGTGGACACGTTGAAGGACGTGATCGAGGAGATGGAGGAGACGACGGCGGAGATGAAGAGAGAGCTGGAGGAAAAAACTAAGGTGAGGAACACACCTGTTCGTACAGGACGTACCTGAGGCAATTCATCCTGTCAATCTGTGCATGTCGCAGTACACACTCTCAGAGATATAGACACTATATATAAATATAGTATTCATATAAATACATATTTAAAATGTGTTTCAGGAGCTGGAGCGGCAGAAGCACACCTGTTCGGTTCTGCAGCACAAACAGGAAGAACTGAAGGAGGGGATCAGACAGAGAGACGAGCTCATAGAGGTGATCACATGACCTCATCATACCTCATCATACACCTGTACATGGGTCTGTGCAGGCTGCAGGGGGCGCTCTGCTCCACAAGAACCTGCTATGGATTGAGTGACAGCTGTAGGGCCCCTCCCCTTCTCTTCTCTGTCCTGTCTCCTTGTCGTGTCCTCCTTCACCTGTTTCACATGTTTCACCTGTTGGTTTTTGCTTCATTTTCTCTTCTTCTGTCTGTGTTCTTTTCTTCCTCCTGTCACCTGTCTCCTCTTCATGGTGTCACCTGTCTCCTCTTCATCCTGTCACCTGTGGCACCAGGAGAACCAGAGGCTGCAGACTCAGGTAGACGCCCTCAGCAGGGAGATGTTCGACCTGCAGGAGACCATAAACTGGAAGGACAAAAAGATCGGGGTAACTCATGCTGTCTCTGCATGATGGACACCTGTAGGCTTTAACACACCTGGACCAGTCCACACCTGGACCGGTCCCCACTTAGACCGGTTCTCACCTGGACCTGACCCCACAGTGTGTGTTTCTGCATGTTGTGAAAACAGAGCTAACACTGTGCTGAGTCTGTGAAATAAGATAAAAATATTTAAAGATGTGACAACATGCATGCTCACCTGTGAAGGACCTGGTCAATTAGTAACCATCAATTAGAGGTCAAATAGAGATGAATTAGAGGTCAATTAGTGGACGCACAGTCAATCCTCATTCATTAACCTTTCCCCATGACACCTGCCATGCTGTCAGCATGTTCACCTGTGTGTGTGTGTGTGTGTGTGTGTGTGTGTGTGTAAAACTGTTGCATGTCTTTCCAACCTTGTTTCCACTTGTGCCATTCTTTTATCTGTCCTCTGTCCTTCTTTCCTTTCCTCTCCTCCCTGTCTTCTCTTCCTCTCCTTGTCCCAACTTTTCGTCTCCCCTTGTCTCTTCTCCTTGTCCTTTCCTCTATCCTCGTCCCCTCCTCTCTTCTTCCCTGGTCCCCTGTTATCGTCTTGTTCTCCACATCCCCGCCATCTCTCCACCTTCCTCGTCCCCTGCTCCTCCCCCCCGGAACAGGCTCTAGAGAGACAGAAAGAGTACTTTGATTGCATTAGGAGTGAGAGAGACGAGCTCCGAGACGAGCTCTCTGACATCAAAGTGAAGATGAAGACGGAGGTGAGTCTTCGTCACACTAAGAGGAGCTTCATTTAAATGTATTTATTTGTATCTTATTTCATATTTTTTTTATTTTTTACTGTTACCATGACAACAGTGTTCTACATATTATTAGCGGTAACCAGTCGAGTGTAGAGGAGACGTCACCATGGTAACAACTAGTGATGGTGAACACAGGGTAACGACGCTTCATTTAATGAAACCGGAAATCATTCATTATTTAAATGTCCATAAAAGGTCAAGTTCAGGTCATCGACACACAACGTCCTCATTCATTTCATGAGCGCCACCATGAGGAGTCCTGGAGAAGTGACAGCAGGGGAATAACCTGGATCTCAGAGCGCTGTGTTTTATATTCATAAAGAGATTTATCCTCAGATGATCAAATCAGTCAGGATGACTTATTAATAAAAATCATTTCTCACTAATCTATTCAAACATCCTCCACCTGTCCAACAGGTGTGACGAGCAGCCAGCATCAAACACTCCGTCTCTCTCTCTCTCGCCCTGTAGAAACATGGACTTGTCATTATCCCAGATGGGACTCCAAACGGAGACATGGATCTCGAGTGTCCGTCCTCAGGTATTACGGTGGTCTCTCAGGAGGCCGCCCAGGTGCTGGAGTCTGCAGGGGAGGGTCCTTTAGGTGAGTCCAGGTGACACAGACTGCTCTTTGCAAAGACATAAGAAGGATTGATTGAAATCTGACTATTTCCTTTCTTCATATAAACAAACTCTAAATAAATAATGCCGTGTTGTCCCAGATGTGCGGCTTCGTAAGCTGGCGGAGGAGAAGGACGAGCTGCTGTCTCAGATCAGGAAGTTGAAGAATCAGATGGAGGATGAGAGACAGAAACAGTCGAAGACAGACGGTGCGTTCACTGATGGGGAGAGAGTGGAGAACGGTACAGACCTTCACTTCATCGAGATGCAAAGTGAGTTTACTCCCGTCCTTCAGCACACACTTTGTAAAGATGACAGTTTGAATCTCACTGTTCTTTCACCTGCAGGAGACGCTAACAGACAGATCAGTGAATACAAATTCAAAATCTCTAAAGCAGAACAGGAAATGGGTACGATGGAACAAAATGTGAGTATCTGAGTTACAGATAACAACACATTCACTCTTCAGTCTTTTCATGTCCGGGTGAGGTGTGATGTTGAGGTGAGGTTATGTTGAGGTGAGGTGGTGATGTCGGGGTGAGGTGAGGTGGTGTGATGTGTGATATTGGGGTGTGATGTGTGATGTTGGGGTGAGGTGATGTCGGGGTGGTGTGGTGTGATGTCGGGGTGGTGTGGTGTGATGTCGGGGTGGTGTGGTGTGATGTCGGGGTGGTGTGGTGTGATGTCGGGGTGGTGTGGTGTGATGTCGGGGTGGTGTGTGTGATGTCGGGGTGGTGTGGTGTGATGTCGGGGTGGTGTGGTGTGATGTGGGGTGGTGTGGTGTGATGTCGGGGTGGTGGTGGTGTGATGTCGGGGTGTGTGGTGTGTGTGATGTCGGGGTGGTGTGGTGTGATGTCGGGGTGGTGTGTGTGGTGTGTGTGGTGTGGTGTGGTTGGTGTGATGTCGGGGTGAGGTGTGGTGTGGTGTGGTGTGGTGTGATGTCGGGGTGAGGTGTGATGTCGGGGTGGGGTGAGGTGATGTGTGATGTCGGGGTGATGTGAGGTGATGTCGGGGTGATGGGTGATGTGTGATGTGAGGTGATGTCGGGGTGATGGGTGATGTGTGATGTGAGGTGTCGTGTCGTGTCAGGGTGAATATTATTCCCTACACTCCAAACAGTGGAGGGGTCTCCTGAGCATGATTGCAGGGGCCAACTGTGTGTTTTGATTTGGATTTGTTTGTTTGTTTGTTTGTTTTCAGATCAACAGACTTGAAGGTCAGGTGAGTCGTTACAAAGCTGCTGCAGATAATTCTGAACGAGTGGAGGACGAACTGAAGGTGGAGAAACGTAAACTACAGAGAGAGGTAAAGGTCAACATGTTTACACAAACAAAGATAAATAATTAAAGATGAATAGGTCACTCAGAGTGTGTGTTTGTGTGTGTGTGTAGCTGCGTACGGCTCTGGATAAGGTGGAGGAGATGGAGATGACCATAACCACCTGGTGAAGCGTTTGGAGAAGATGAAGGCAATAGGAACGCTCTGCTGTCTCAGCAGTGAGCGGCGTCTTCTCACCATCAAGCCTTTAAATCTCCTCCACTGCCAAACTGCGTCTGCAGCAACTCTAAGCGCAAACACTCGGACATTAGTAACCTCTAAAAGTAGCAGAAGAGCACGCGCGTGTTCACCATAGGGAGAGAGGCGAGGACATTTCACTACATAATCTGTCATGTTTAATTCTCTGCTCGGGGCGGGGCTTTGTTTTGTTTTGATAAGTTGCATGAATGAGTAAAAAGCTTTTAAAGCGTGACGGCTGCTCCGCTCTTTCCTCACAGTGAAGTGCCTTTTACACGAGCTGACGATTCTCTAAAGGTTTCAAATATTTAAAGATTTCTGCTCAATAAAAGTGTGATTTACAGACGACTCCTTTTTCACTTTCAACACCTTTATTAACTTCCTGTGAAACAACTGATCACTCTGACCATGATGTCACCGTCACTCAGAAGATGATGTCATCATTAGAATGTGTTGACTGTTAATCAGCTGATTTCTGTCCCTTTGTATTCGTCTCTTCAGCGACTCTCGCTGATGACTTTTCCTATTTTCAGAGAAATCTTTAAACGCATCAATTTGTTTTTATTTCAAACAGAGAAGGAACAGTAGCTGATGAGAGAATGTTCAGCATCTCTCAAACACTTTGTAAAGATCGGGTAAATTTGCGATCTGCAGCACGCTGCCGTCCTCGCTGAAACTCTTCGGAGGACTGAAGAGACTGCGCACAGCTTTGAAGATGACGTGTTCAACTTTCAACGCCACGAGTTCCCCTCCGAGTCCTGAAACACACACAGCCCTGTTAGCCTGATCATCTGTGTCTAAGACAGAATTCCTCCTCCAGAGGCTCTAACGTTTTTCTCACCAAGTCGTCGTGCAGGAGGAAGCGTTTCCTGATGAGTAAAACGAGCTGC